AAGTAGTTGTTGGTAGGGGCATAGGGGTATCTAGAAATTTCCTGCCACTAGCTTAAGGGGAACACAAACTTTTACTTGATTCTTATCCAATATCAAGGCATGGGGCTGATGAGCAAGTCCCCAAAACTGACCAATATCAATATATTTTATCAATATACCCATACCAAAGACCATGAAGCCTTCAGTCCTTAACCACAGTGGAAGCAAAGCCTTAAGTCCATCGACCAACTCACTTTCAGGCCTTCTGCCCTTGTCCTTATTCTTCCCCCAGTGCCACCACCTTTCCTCCTCCTTTTGAATTCCATATTGCCAACATTTAAATGTGAGCTCCCTGTCTTTTGGGACTTATGCTATTCTGCAAGCAACACACACACACACAGTATAGCTCCATATACACAAAACAGGACACACGTCTTTTGCAAAAAGGTCACCATGCTGACTTGTGTCAAGCAAGCATCTCTTCATAGTCATTTTATGCCACCCTTGTTCTCTTGGGGATAAGCAAGACCAACGAGCACAACCTCTTTCTGTCCTTCAGCAAGAAGAGCTGCTTGCAAGAAACTCAATCTCGACACACCAGCAAGTTCCTTAAATGCAGGAAACAGACACTGACCTGCAGACAGGCAAGAACACAAGGGATATTGATCTTGCAAGGTCTTACAGCAATCTCAGCAGCAGAACACAAGATCAAGTGGAAGTTCATGGGCCACACTAACAGACTTGCCTCTGCTGAATTTTCTGGGGATCTCTACCAGTGGCTCCCCACAACAGCCTTTCCCAACTGGGTAACCTCCAGACATGTTGGACTGAGGATACTCAGAACTCTGCTGGCTAGGGGATTCTGGGAACTGTAGTCCAACCCTTTTAGAAGCCACCCAATTGGGGAGGGCATTCCTACAACAAACATCTCTCTTTTATTAACTCTTTTATTAACTTTATACAGAGTGGAAGAGGTGAATGGCAAGAGCCCTAGCAGCCTATCAATCAATGGATATTTCAAACCATGAGCCTTTTAAGCCTAGATCAGGGGTTGGCAACCTTTAACACTCAAAGAGCCATTTGGACCCATTTCCCACAGAAAACACTGGGAGCCGCAAGACCCTTTTGACATCTAAAATGAAGATAACACTGCATATATCGTTTTTCACCTTTATGCTTTGTATAAAAAAACTACAGTGTGTTGCATTTATGAAATCAATGAACTGCTACAGAGAAAACAATTTTTTATTTCTGCATGCAACAAAAACGTTTTGAACTAAAAAAAACAAGGAAGTAGATCTATATCTTCATTAAGATTTAACTGTAGCTCTTGTTCAGTCACTAAAAACTGTTATTTTTAATCTTACATTATAAACTAGTAGGACTCCTTTCATATATTTTGAATAGAACAGCTTTCTGCAGAGTCAAAGTCAGTGCTAAAGGGCTGCATGCATTAAACAGCAAACCCCATAAGTTCGTCAGCAGTAAAAGCAAATGAATCTACCCACGTACCATTAAATGTTCGGTTTTCTTCAGAAACTTTTCTTCAATTTATCCAATTTACTGCGGGGGTGGGGTGGAGGGGAAGCTCAGTAAATCGGTGTGGATCTGGGTCCCAGATCGGCTGTGCCCGAGATATAGGTGGGTTTAGTGACCGATTAGAAGATAAACAGTCAAGTGCTGTGAACTGAGACAGGTCCCAAGCGCAGCTTTTAACACTCAGATGAAGGAGATTACATTTGGACAATCTTTTCAGCAGGGTTGGAGTAACATGAGAGCCTGCAGGAAGCTTGTTCCACTCTTTCCCTGCACAATTGCTACAGAGGAATGTAGCAATTTACTTAACCAGCCTCAATCGCAGATCTGGGGCTGTGCCGGCGCGTGTTTTGAGTGATGGAGCTGCAGCAGAGGGATTCAAGAGCGACGTGCGGCTCTGGAGCCACGGGTTGCCGAACCCTGGCCTAGATGATCCATGTTGACAAAAATATAATCTGAACACAAGATTCTGAAATCCCACAGGCTTTATCTGTCTTGGAAAGTCTGCGGGTAGCCTTAAGCAGTTCCAGAACTCACCTCAAAAGAGCTTGTGTTCACAGCCATGTCAGTTAGAAAATGGAAAGGCAGCTGGGTCTAACAGTGGCTGCAAGGATAACGGAGTCTCCATGATGATGCCTTTGAGTTTGCATGATTTACTAAGGCCAGTGAGAAACTGCCCTGATGGCTGGGAGCAGCATCTCATTTTGAAGTCATCCTCTTATCAGCTATCAATTTCTCACCAGCAATTATGCACTGAGCTCCTGTAGGCCCAGCTGCTGTTCTGTTTCCTAACTGAAACATGTTCCAGCTTATCTTCACCCAAGACTTCTAAGGCACAAGCAGCTAGTAAGAGTGGCAACTTTATGACTAATATTCCTCCTATCCCCACCTCTGGCAGTTTATCCTGCATTTAGCTTCTCTTAAGACCAGTTCCCCTTCTATATAAATGCAGGGCAAGTGTCCGAATCTTCCTAAGAAACCTTTGCCTGGGTACCAATTTTAGAGTTAAGGTTGGGCAAATACATTTTCACCATAATGCTTCTGGGAATTAGAGAAAAGCTGAGCCGAGAAACACCTTACAGTAACATTTCATTAGAAGCCAGTGATTTCCAGCCCCAATTCAAGGTGCTTGTATTAATCCATTAAAGTCCTAAACAGTTTAGGGTTAGAATCTCCTCCCATACCAACCTGTTGAATCCTCAAGGTTTTCAAAAATCCTTCTCCAAGCATCCTACCAAATGAAGCAAAGCTCACAACTACTAAAGGAAGGACCTTTTCTATGGCAGCACTCACATGATGGCTTGCACTCTTCAAAGAAGCTTGCCTGGTGCCTATATAGTGACGTTTTTGGCAAGAGGTGAAGATTTTTTATTCTGCCGGGTTTTCAGCCGCACATCTTTAATGCACTTTTAGTTCCTGGTAATATTTTCCCTCTGTGCCAATTGTAGTTTACCTTTTAGAATCAAATTTATTCTTCTTTTGTGTTGATTTCACGCTGGCTTTTCATGTTTTTGTTGTATTAACATAGGTTTTAACATGTTTTGATATAGTACCATATGCATTAATGAGAGGGTGTGGATTGGGCAGCGCCATAGCACCAAAACCATGAAATCTGGGCACCTGAATCTTGGCATACATAGTAGGGAGAGCATAGAGGTGTGCAGTACCACCTTCAGTCACTAGGTGGCAGCCTGCCATGACCAGGGCAGTCCATGCAGTTTGGAACCAGGTGAGGTGGGGGGTGGAGGGCAGTGTTATGGCTACCACTTTCCCTCTCTCTGGAGGAAACCTCTCCTCAGGAAAATGGCTTAGCCAAATGCCCCCATCACTAAGGGAGCAACTGAAATGGGCCATGCTAGGGTCTGAGCCTATTGGTGCCAGCAGCCATGGTTTCACTAAGCAATATTATAATATATAACAGTGAAGCAGTGCTTGCATTCTATTAATAACTTTTGTAACATTTAGATGTTCAGTATAAAAATGATGCAAATAAATACATTTCTGGATGAAAACTTATTACAGCTTTGCAGTGTGGAAGCAGAAAACGAATGCCTAAATAGCAACATCAAGAGGGAGGGAGGGAGGGAAAGAAGAAAACATGCTAAATACCCTTCTATTCACAGGAAAAGCAGGTTGCTTACCTGTAACTGATGTTCTTCGAGTGGCCATCTGTGCAGTCACACATATGGGTACTGCGCCTGCGCAGTGCCTTTGGCCGGAAGATTGATAGCTAACGGTTTTTGGCGGGAAGCTCCGCTCAGAAGATGTATCTGCTGAGAAGATCCGCGTGCACGTTGTCTGTACCGGCCAGATGAACGGCTATCAGAGTAATGTGTCTCTGAATGCACCAGTCCCAAATTCTCATAGAAAGCCTGGCTAAGGTCGGTGACTTCGTCCCTCCTTGCTTGTTCAGATAAAAAACGGTCGCTATATTGTCCGAAGTTATCTGAACGATCCGATGATGAAGGAGGTCTTCGAAAGAACAAAGGGCTTTGAAGACTGCCAGCAGCTTTAGGAAGTTGATATGATTCGTGGATTCTAGACGAGTCCACGTTCCCTGGGTAGACAGGCCAGAGCATATCGCCCCCCATCCTAGGAGAGACGCGTCGGTACAGAGAGTTATCGAAGGAGGTCGCGCCCTGAAGGGGATTCCCATCACGAGATTGGTTTTTTTTTTTTTTTGATAGATCGAAGAAGAAATAACAAGAGAAAACTACACAGAAGCGGGAAACGAAGTAAGGGGAAAGTAGTATAAGGGCAATATATAAGGAGAGAACCAAGAATAGCAAAAGTGAAAGTCGAAAGCAGCACGAGGCACAGCGAACGGTGGTCACAAAGACTGAACAAAATGGCGGACGCTCTGCTCTTTATAGGCCACAACGGGGAGGGGGAGCGGAGCTTCCCGCCAAAAACCATTAGCTATCAATCTTCCGGCCAAAGGCACTGCGCATGTGTGATGCACAGAGGCCACGACGAAGAAGCAGGTAATACTGCCATTTGGCACAGTATGGGTAACACTGTAAATTAATCAGCAGAAGAAATCCAATCATATTGATTGTTCCCAAAGGACACACAGCCCGCCAAGAAGCAAAGGTGCCATTCAAAGTTACTCCATCAGCATCTGCCTCTGTCACTGCTACTCCCCTTCCCTCTCTGCCACTCCCTGCCAAAGGGTAATGCAACAGTTGGAAAGACTGGCATGTAAAAATGCTTATGGAGGCTTCAACTGTGGTACAAAGAGTCTTTCTGCTACTGCAGACAAGATAATAAAAAACAGTCCCTTCCTTCCAGTACATGCTGATGCTCAAAATAAAAATTTTGCAAGCCTTCCACATAGACCACAAATTTCAATGGCGAATCCCTTGCTTCTTCTGCTGAATTACAAACAATACACTGCAAATTGCGCAAGAAAATGACCTAGAAGTCTGACAGCTTTGCTTTAGCATAAAGATCTGTCACATCAACAGCTCAATACACTTTGTTACCTGCAACATCCATTCTAGTACTGGCTTCAGTCTTTTTGAAATCCTCTATGTCTGACTCCTCTTCTGCATTGGGTTCATGTACAAAAGGCTCTTTCAGAGTCTCTTCGACCTCATGCTGGGCTAGAGGACCTGCTTCCAGATGCACAAGCTTCCTTGGGATCTCCTTTTCCATCTTTTCCTCTTCTTCACTAGTTGTACTAGTAGCACCATGCCGTGACTTTAAGAAAGCAACTACACCGGGATCTGACAATAAAATCAAAATGGGAGCACAGATTGAGTCAGCAGTCCTCTTTGATGTACATTCACCTTTCCAGTTAAATATACCAACAGCGGCAATTCCAGCAAAGGCCTGGCCACCCAGCCGTCACGCAGAACAGCAACATATAACCTTTTTGACCGAAAGCCCCTCATCTGGTGCTGGCTGGGGGCACAAACACATGCACACCCTGCCCACAGCAATCTGCATATAAACGGGAGGGCAGCAGATAGAAGCCTCTCCCATCTCCCAGCAATTGTCACAGAGACTGCTGTTTCTCCACCCCTGCCAACCACAGGAACACATTGATCTCAGGAGTCAAGAACAACATTTTTTTAACTCCACAGCCCAGTCTGGCCATCAGGAAGCCACTGGGCTTCCACCAGCTTCAGAGGCTGCACAGAGTACAGCTAAGGGCTGCATGTGGCAGGCTGCACACCCCTGAGACAGAGTCTACTTTTCTGATTGCAAATGAAGGGCACAGGGCCACATTCATGTCTGATAAGTGTTCTGTCGCCCCCACCACCCCCTGCCAAAAAACAAAAGCAAGCAGCTACCTCTGGAAAATTCATGAGCCCTGAGGCTGCCTGAGCACCTCTGCTGTTGTCATGAAGCCAGCTGCATAAATTAAACATTGCAACAGGGGAATGATTTGGTGGTGACTTTGAAATTGCAATGAGAGATGTGCTTTAGGCACTGTTCTCTTTATTATTGTGTTGCAGAGCAAAACTTAACACAGCTAAAGGAAAAAGAATGAACAGGTGGTCTTCAGGTGTAACTTCTGAATGGATAAATATATGGATACCTAGGTTGCCTTTATGGAAGTTTATGCATATCTAAGAACTATGTATGTCTTGCTGCATACATATAATAATATACATATTTAGTGTTATGGTTTTCTTTAATTCTTATGCAGGAAAATTGGCCATTGTTCTCTTGTTTCCACTAGGTTTCTGCTTTTAAAATGACAGTGAATTTTGCTTAAAAACACAGGGCTTTAGAAAATCCAAATAAATAACTGAATAAAATACATAGATCTGAAGTTTATTCATGTATGCATTCAGCTAGGGAAAATCAGCTAGCAGTTTGTACCTAACTGAGCCAGCAACCGTTTCTGTTCCTCCAAGATCTGTTCCTCAGTCATGGATTGCAATTTCTCCACATTCTCCTTGTGGATGTTCAAGGCTTCCTGCTTACCAGCCAGGCCTCCAAGTCCCTCACCAGTCACAATAAGAGAGCACTGACTGTTTACAAGATTATCTAGAAATCAAAAGAGCCATAAACAACATTCATACATAATATACATGTCTAAATGGAAAGCAAACAAATCTAAGGGGAACACATGCTCCACAGTACGTGTCATCTCCTATGATGTTTGGAGACACATACAGTATGTAGAACTCATTTATCACAAACAATGGCTCAGGAACATGTAACACACCATGCAGCTCAACCCATTTCTATTTTTCCACAAATGATGGATCATCTATACAAGAAAGAAGTGCCACAGGACTAAAGCATAAGATCTACGGTCAGGAAAAATCTAAAGGTACTAGTTTGAAGAAAATATACCCCTCTTCCATCCTATAGCTTATAGCAGATATATGTGTGTGTGTGTGTGTGTGTGTGTGTGTGCGTGTATTATATTATATATATATATATATATATATATATATATATATAGAGAGAGAGAGAGAGAGAGAGAGAGAGAGAGAGAGAGAGAGAGAGCGAGTGAGCGAGCAAGTGAGCAAAGAGTACTTCTGCAGTAATAATATGAAGCCATGAACCACAAGGAATAATGTCTGTGCTATCTGCTGCACTTTGACTACAGAATTCAGGCCCCACACAAATGGAAACAGGGCTCAAGCTGCCTTGAGTGCCATCTCCTGACCAAAAGCTCAGACATAAATCAAATAACTAAATACTGGAAATTTACTTGATTGAAACAGAACTGGGGAACCTCAGAACAAAAATGATCAGAGCTACTGATCACAAAAGAGTTTTGACTTGCTGGGCTAATGCCTGAGGAGGAAGCTGTCTAGTAATTCAGTCCTGATTACTTCTGAGACTTCCCTGTCTTCCCTAACAAACATTTTTAAGGCTTCCAAAGGCCCACGGGTAATCAAGAGCCCCTGCTCCAGAGATGTCAACATTCACCTTCCCCTTCTGTCTGGAACTGTGCCTTCAAAGGTACAGAAGGCAGGGCAGCATCTGGAACTGTTCGTCCAGCGTCTGTCTGTTCAGCATCATCAACAGCACAAGATGCCTGAGCCAGTTCAGCTGCTCGCTTAGCAGCTATCTTCTGGGCAAAGATGCTTTTCCTTACATGAGTTGACTTTGCCTGCAGGAAGACAAGAAAACAATTAAACATTCCCCTATTCTTCTGAGTTTTCAACCTATTGTTTACTAACAGATAACTTATTCTCCAAGGGCTAATCCTTATGTAGCCCAAACAGCACAGAAGGAAGAAAATCATTAGCAATCTGGGGGAATCCAAAAAGGTTACAAAAGTATTAAAATTAAACAAAGTTTAGGAAAGTACATCCTAAGAGGACCCAAAACAGCCCAGTAAAGACTATGTATGCGCAGTGGCCACAGAAAGTTGAGTGCCTGTTGGATCAATAAAATAGAATATCCCGAAAAGTAACATGGCTAGCCGGCACCCTGAACAAAAGGATGTCACAGTGCAACATTTTATGGCAGATTCCTATTATAATAGCCTAAAACAGTTCATCAGTATTTCTACCAGCTGATCCTAGTGCATCAATAGCACTACTGAGATTTTTCTGTTATCTTCCACATGCATTTGTATGTGGTGATAAATGGTACAATCCTATGCATGCTTACTTGGAAGTAATTCCCCCTGTGCATAATGAGACTTACACCAAGTAAGCATGCTCAGGTTAGCACTAGCCTTAAGCAACTTTCCCCCATGCCTCTATTTGTAAAGATGGCTGTGTACCTGTAAAAGCATTCAATGAATCTTTCAATGTTATCCATATAAATGTACTGGATTCATTTCAACAATCCTTTCTCCATTACTTGGTATTAAGTGATTGGCATTTCAGTACACAAGTCACTAATTGCAAACAAAGTCTCAAATAAATTAAAATTAGCCTGTAAGGTGCTCTAAAGGCCAAGTGTACAGAAATGTCCAAAACATCCAGCATTGGATAATTTCACTTAAAAAGAATAACAGAGCCCACTCTCCCCTACAGATAATGGAAGTCACCGTTGAGCTGTTATATGTTAAAATAGAAAGTAGGGCAAAATGCACACACTTCTTTCCCAAATGCAGAGATATGCACCTGGTTATAGGTAAATTGAGACAAGTCTGTTGCACTCCAGTGCACGGAAGAACTCATTCCCTATGATTAATCCGTAAGTCTGCTTATCTGAATGTTTTGCATTTCTGTGCTTAAACAGACTTCACAGTCTTGGAAAGACCATTTCTGAAGATTTTTGGGACCAAAATAGAGCAAGAACTTCACAGTAATAAATTGGATTAATGTGCTTAACCAATGCCTTTTAAAAATTTGCATGGTATTTATTCTCAGGCTCTGACACACACACTTATTGACTATTGATAAGAAAGCCATGGAAAGAGCGTGACAGAAATGCACCTTCATGCTAGGGATTCATGCAGCCATGAGGGAAAGAACAAACCCTGCTATATCCAAGGTTGCACAACCAATACACACACAATTAACTGTGAAATAAGCTTGCACAGGCAGGGGAATTTCTGTGGAAGCAGCATAGCTTTCCTGTAGCAAGTGCTGAAACAGCTGATTCAGCACGCAAGCCTGTCTGCACAAATGGAAGGGCGCTTCTGGATTCTGCCTGAAGATTAAACAAAATAAAAACACAAAAAACACAATCTGACCATCAATATTTAAAATGACACAAGCCAATACCATGCACTGCTATGTTTATAGTAGGAAACCCCACAAAGCACTAGAAATTTTGTTTTTAGTCTTCGGAGGTTTGAGTCCATGGCTCTCAGGCTGTCCAAGTAGGTAAATGCTGCACACACAGACACACCCTCCTTATTGCATGTGCTGTTGTCTGAGCCACTGCCTCCTACTTCTCCAGCAGTGAGACTAATGAGAGTGACCTCTGAGCAGAAAGCATGTGCCAGGTTGGACTTGCCAAACAGAAACATAATGATAGGCCAGTGAGGCAAAGCCAAACCACAGATCAACAATGGGCAAAAGAAAACATTTATGAGCTGCTAAGAATAAAGTGTGAATTAGGGAGAAACGGAGGTAATCCAAACATGCAGTTAATCCTCCATAAAGAACTATGATAGTAAAAAGTAGTGGCCAATCATTAGAAATCTGCTCAGTGTATCATCCTAACAGATTTAAATGCATTATACATAAAGTAGACCCTTAGGACAGACTCCTTTTGGAGAGTCCCGAAAGACTGGCCCAGACTCTCTCTCAGGACAAGACACATAACAGCAAGTAGACAGTATTTGGCACTCTAGAAGTTTTAGCCCACTTCTTCTATCCACTACAGCCAGCACAGTCAATGGTGAAAGATCTGGGGAGTTACAGTCCAAAATATCTTAAAAACCCAAGTTACCTGCCCCTTACCTTACAGTTTACTAAGATAAAACAACACTCACTGCTCCTAAGAAAGGAAATTAGAACATTTTTCTTCAACACATTTGGAAATATGGAATATGTCCAAATATAGTATTGTTTCTTTTAAAAGAAATAAGCTCAGTGTTCTATAGCTATTATAAAAGATCAAGATGTATGAGATACAATGACATAATGGATTTATATTTAACTTTGCCTACAGATCTTACTAACAGAAAGAAAACACACTATTGAAAGCTCACTTGGGAAGGCCTGATTTAGGGCTCTTAAGCATTTTTAAAAGAACTTTCAAACCAAAAAGTACTTGTTTTAGTATGAATTCACAAGAAAATTGATCTTTTTTATTAATTTTTATTTTTTCTTAACATACACAAATACATAAAAAGTAAAATAGGAAAAATGTAAAAAACAAAACAAACTAAACTGAACAAATAAACAAAATAAACAAGATTGCCAAGGGAATTTTAAACAGATACAGCAGATATTACAACCCCCCAAACTGAATCTTTTTATCTTCCCATGCTTTATGAGTTTACCAAAAAGAAATCATTATTCTATACATCAACAGATGCTGCTTTCCTTTTTCTTTTCCTATCTCCCCTGAACTTCCATTAATCATGCTAAGCACAATAAAAATTCCATTTATCATTAAATTCTTCTTACAGTCTTCTATTTACATAGCTGGTTAGCTTTGCCATCACTGCACATTATGCTACTCTAAGTTCTCCATTCCTCAATAGTTGGGGGCTCCAAGAAAACTGATCTTTTATGGCATAATCTACTCAAAAGTAATTCCTAGTCATAGACATATCACTCAAAAGTCAATTGTAATCCTATGCAAACTCATCTGGAATTAAGCCTCACTGACCTTCTGAGCAGACATGCACAGGATTGTGCTGCTAAGATCAAATCATAAAATCTGGGGGAAGTCAATGGATCTAGGCAGTCTGGTTTCAAGAACCCATTGAGAACAAATGTGGTGTAGTGGTTAACAGCACAGAACTAGGATTCAGGAGATCTGGGTTTTAGTCTGCACTCAGCCATGGAGCACATTGGATGACCCTGGGTCAGTCACAGACTCTCAGCCCAACCTACCTCAAAGGGCTGTTGGGAGTATAAGATTGGGAGGAAGAGGAGAATTATGTAAGCCACCTTGAGTTCCTTGGGAAAAAAAAGTGGGATATAATTATAATGAATCAATAAGTTGAATGCTCCTTATTGCTAGTTCTGATTGTTAATCAGCCATCAAATTTTAATCCTCAATTAATGAGGATTAAAGTTATATAGTTAACTTATTAACTATATAAATGTATCACCTTCCACTTCTGAAGTCTCCTGTATGTGGTCCCCACATGCAGTAAAATGTTCATGGTCTCTTCTGTTGGTGAAGACCAGGCTCCCTGGTCTTTCTGATTTCTATTTTCTTTCTTCAGACTTTTCAACCAATTTTTTTTTAATTTGGAATGTTGGCACAGCACAAAGCAAAGAATGCCCTCCCACCCCATCTTGGTCTTGTGTTTCAGAGTTCAGCTCCCCCACTCAGGCTCATACTTTAGGTTGCTGAGCATGCCATTTTTCTTTCAATCTCACCATTTGCCTTCTAGAAAATGGGTTTTTTTATAGCTGCCCATGCTCAACATGACACCAATTTTGTGAATAAGCAAGCCTGCCCAACAGCAGCCATTTTGTAGGAGCATTCATGACACACACTCAAAAGCCCTAGTGTGCAACCCAAAATGGCAAGGGACACCAGCTCTATTTTAAAGCAATTTGAAGTGGTAAAACCCATCCTCTGCTTCATTGCTCCATCAGCTCCCTCTCCTGCACGTAGACATGAACAGAAAAGCACAGAAACACCATGCAACTCCAGACTACTTGCTGACTGCCCTACATTTATTTGAACATTTATCAACCAAAATAACACCATACACTCCTGTAGCTCAGGTCAGAATTGCAGTATCAGTGCAGTCCTAAGCATACTTACTCAGAACCAAGTTCTACAAGTATACAAGGTAAGCATGCAGAGGATTAGAGCATAGGAAACAAAAATCTGATTTAGCTTAGTTTCAGATCACTCATACATTTTGTATGGGTAGTATCCTACTCTGACCACATGCTTGCAAAATCTACCATTTTCACAATGAACAGCAGTGTCTCCAAAAGTACACTCAGAAATGCTCATTTCTGGAATAGGAGTGGTCAGCAGAGCTCAGAAAAGATCTGTTAACCCAACCCATGCATAAAGTAACAAAACCCTGTTGCACAAGCAATGGAGGCAGAATGGCCTTGTCGGCTACTGCCCTTTATCTCCTGCTTCCTCCTGGAGAAATAGGATCAAATGACTAAATCCCTCCCAACACAACACACTACCATGGCAAATATTATTTTTACCAATAGTTGTCAGGCCTGCAACCTCAAGTCCAGAAGAGTGGTTGTTACTCCTACTTTAAAACCCTTTTGCCAACCTAGAGAGGAAAACCTGGCCAAAACATTACTCAGCTCTCTTCCTCCTTCTGCCAGCCTTTGCCTCCTCCTCTGTCTCTCTCCACATTTGTCCTTGCTGAAGTTTCATTCAGGGCCATTCCTGCAGCTCCAGGCATTCAGTGGAACTGCAGAGCCTCACACCCATCCAGGCAAACAACCACTGACTAGCAGTGCATTCTGGAACCCCGCATGGTTCTGCCTGCCTGGGAAATACATCACCCACAACAGCAAAACTAACAGATGTTTTTTTTTGTTTTAAATTTAGCTCATTGTACCATTTGCTAAACCATCTGTGCAACTGCATCAGCAGCCCCAGCGCTTTCCTCTGACATTTTCTTGTTTAAAATGTTAACCTGATGTTTATCCATAAAATTGAACGGCGGCAGATTACATTAAAATCCAACACAGAACACAGAACTGATAATGAATTGAAATAGAAAGGTAGTGAGAAGGCTGGACAATAGGTATGTGCTTCTCTTACCTCTGCTTTTATTTCAGACCTGTGAAAAACTCTGGGAAATGGATCTCCCGTGAAGAGTGGAGCGGCCACACTGGCCATGCTTGTGTCACGTTCCTGCCATAGATAAGAGACAACGTTATTTAAGCATTTGTTTCAATAAAATATCGTGATCTAGCTTAGGCAACCAAAAAGCATTTGGACCTTTATGAGCCAAATTCAAGTTTTTCCTCAGCTAGGAAATGAAATGATGTTTATGCAAGCATTAGTATAATGCTAGGAGAAAGGCCTTTTCTGTAGCAACACCCTACTTATGGAATATGTTCCCCAAGGAGGCTTTCCTTCCAGCACCAAGTAAAGGCTTTCCTATCTAACAGGTGTTTTAGTGGTTGAATTGGTTTTAATATTGTTTTAGCATTATTGCTGCATGCTTTTGTGACTTTGCTTAGCAGATCTGCAGTTTTAATGGTTTTTTATTATTTTGTCATTTTTATTGTTCCTTTATTGCTTTTATTTGTTGCTTTTATTGTTCTTCCTGTTTTTACTGGAAGCCTCCCAGAGAGCTCTTTATATAGGGTGGCATATAAATATAACAAATAGATAATAAATAATGCTTACACAAGTCTCCTGCTCCCCTGGCTTCTTTAATGTCACTTTTTGCATTTGAGGAGATCATAGTGATTAAGTGAGGAGACTCCCATACTTTGCGCAGAAAGCTCAACAAACACAGATGAGCTACTGTCTGAGTCAGAAGAAGGTCCCAGGTTCAATCCCTACCATCACCACCTAGAAAGATGTCTTCTCAGTCCTACTGACGGAGGCCACTGCCGATCAAAACACTACTGCCATTGCTAGGTTAGACAAACCTGTCATCTAATTCAGAACAAAGTAGCTTCCTATATAACCAGTGCTCAGAAAGAAGCCTTCTTACATTCCACCTTCAGCAGTAACATGTATAGTAAGCAAGTACAAATTTGCTTTACATATAAGAACTGCATAATTTTGGGCTATTGGGAGTGTAATGTTTGGGTTACCATAGCAGCTAATTTGATTTTGTGGGTGTTATATGTACATCCATATGTATGTATGTATGTATGTATGTACATACACAGAGAGTGCCAGCTTTAATAGCCATCATTTACTACCACCAGATGTTTAATTGTTGCTAAAATTATTCCTACAAGCAGTACATACAATGATTTGGCTGAGGACTGCTGTGATGTGTTCATCACCATGATCCAACTGCTTCCCAGGATCCTCATCAAAATGGACACGGGCACTTCTTAACTTGGATTTCTTTGGAGGAGCTGGTGTCAGAGGTGGAAGCACATCAGGAAAGCCTTAAAAAGCCAAAACAAAACCCAAAAACAAAAATCAAAACAGAGAATTAGAAATATGCTGGTGCTTTTCTTCTTCCAAGGAAATAGATATGAAATTCTGGGTTGGACCCAATAATGTCATTCCACCAGTGGAAGGACAATCAGTGGCAGAACAGAATTCCCCTTCCCTGCAAGGCCCAAACCTGCTCCAGAGGACTGAGAGACCCTCCAGATCTGGGGGTAGGGATGGCACAGCAAGCAGCAGTGAAGAAGAGAGGATGCCGTAGTCCCAGTGCACAAATGAACTTCTGCTGGTGCAATGTTGAATCCACACCTAAAGCAGCTCCACTTAATAACTCTCATCTTGAATTGCTAAGAACACACACATTCCTGTTTTCTCTCTTGCCATGTGGCTTTACCTAGATAGCTACCTAGATTAAATGAACTGATTGCCAAAAAAATGTAGGAAAGATTCAACTGTGGTCATAAGAGGCATTGGATTTCTGTCTATTAGCAGCCCTACTCTTCAAAATCCAGGCTTATGTATGTTGAGAGCAAGCAGAAGTGCACTTGGACTACCCAAGCACATGTTTAGGGCCTCAGCATATATAACTGTATTTATGAAGAACCTCCCTGATTGCATTCTCACCTTCCACTGCATCTGCAATGCTGATGCAGGGGCAGTGGAGATGATACTACATAAAAGAGATGGCTAAGATCTTTCCCTTAGGTAAGAGCTTCAGCTTGCTGCTATGACCCAATGACAAAGTACATTTGAATTGTCCATTTGTACTAAACTATCAGTACAAAACAGGGTAATCAGAAATAAACTTACCATCCAACGCCACCACATCTCTGCTTTCTTGCAACGGGGGTCTTTCGTCATCACCCTCATTGGCCACATGCTCTCTTTTCTTGTTGGCTTTCTTTACAATCTTCACTGCTGGAGAAGATTTTGCTGCCAGGAACTGATCCTGGAATCTCAGCAAGTCTGCCTCTGATTCACCAGGCTTGGGCCTTGACAACATTATTTCTTTTTCACCCTCACTGACTTCCTTTGAAGAGTTTATGGTTCACCTGATGTAAAAGAAAGCAAATGAATTAGCAGTCCCTTACTTGGGAAGGTATGCTTTTGAAGAATATTTATCATTCTCAGCTTTCACACACTTCAAAGTATCCCCAAAGCCTCAAAGAATATCACTACCAATGCCTCATCTGGAGGAGCTAGAGAACTGCAGTCAACAGAACATTTATTTCTTTTATTACCTTTCTATATCACCCAATAACCAAAGGTGTCTGGGCAATTCACAAAAATCAAAACCCTGAAATACAACATGATAAAGCATAACAACGAGCCAAACAATTTGTGCTATGGTGTTGTGATAGTGTTAAAATATTAAAAATAAAGTAACAGCATGAAATCAAATAAAACCAACAGTGGGGCACAGATCTAAAAGTACAACAGTAAGACATTTAAAAATCAAACCTGAAGGGCTAAAAAAAAAAAAAAAAAAAAACCAGTGGAAGTAAAAGCATGTTTCAGTAAGCACACAGAGCGACAAGCCCTGCCTGGTTTAAAAAAAAAAAAAATCAGCAGGGCTTCCACAAGGGGAAGTCTTGTGTCATTAACCTACTGGAGTTCTTTGAGACTGTCAAAGGTGATCCAGCAGACATTGTTTACTTAAACTTCCAAATGCTTTTGACAAAGTCCCTCACCAGTCATGGAATGTGTGTGTTGGGGTGGGGGGTTGTTTTATGGATCACTAACTGGTAAAAGAACATAAGATACAGGGAGGGAATAAATGGCAGATTCTCCCAATGGAGAGATATCACCAGTGGAGTCCCACAGGGTTCTGTATTATGCTTTCAACATATTCATAAATGATCTGGAATTAGAAATGAGTAGTAAAGTCTTTTAGAGCGGCTGAAAAGTTACACTAAACTTTTTAGAGTAGTTAAAATCAAAAAGGATTCTGAGGAGCTCCAAAGGGACCTCTCCAAGTGGGGAGAATGGGCATCAAAATGGAAAATGCCATTCAATATAAGCAAGTGTAAAGTAATACATGTTGGAGCAAAGAATCCCAACTTCAAGTATACACTGATGGGATCTGAACTAGCAGTGACTGAGCAAGAAAGGGATCCTGGGGTAGTGGTAGACAGTTCAATGCAAATGTCAGCCAAGTACTCAGCTGCTGTGAAAGAGGCAAACTCCATGCTAGGCATAATGAGGAATAGGATGGAAAACAGAAATGCCAAGATCATTCTTCCTTATTTATTTAAACCATTTTTATGCCACCCCATTTGCAAAAAGCCTCGGGGAGGCTTACAACAATAATAAACAAACATAAATAAGCAATTTATATAATTAGAGTTAAAAATCCAGAAGAGTTAATTAGAGTTTAATTAGAGTTAAAAAATCTTGGCATATACCTAAAAATCCCATAAATACAATTCATAAGTTAACAATTAAAATAACTTTTAAATAAAAAGGTCTTGGCCTGGTGCCAAAAAACAAATAACAACGGCGCCAGGCAGACCTCTCTGGGGAGCACATTCCATAGGTGGGGCGCCACCACAGAGAAGGTCCTCCTCCGGGTATTCACCCTCCTAATATCTTTCACGGAGGGTTCCCGGAGAAGGGCCTCTGCTGCCAATCTCAAGGGGCGGGAGGGCATATATGGACGCAAGTGTTCCTTTAGATAACCAGATCTTATATAAATCTTTGCTGCAACCACACTTGGAAAAGTGTACAGTTCTGCTCGCCTTACCTGAAAAAGGACATTACTGAGCTGGAAAAAGTACAGAGAAGGACAACAAAAATAATCAGGCAGTAATGCAGTTCCCCTGTGAAGAGAAGCTACAACAACTTGGACTGTTTAGCTTAGAAAAAAGACAAGGGAGACAAGATAAGGTAAAGGTTTCTCCTTGATGTTAAGTCCAGTCATGCCTGACTCTAGGGGGCGGTGCTCATCTCCGTTTCCTGGCCGAGGGAGCCAGCGTTTGTCCGCAGACAGTCTCCGTGGTCATGTGGCCGGCACGACTAAACACCAAAGTGCACGGAACGCTTTTACCTGCCCACCGAAGTGGTACCTTTTTATCTACTTGCATTTGCATGCTTTCGAACTGCAAGGTTGGCAGGAGCTGGGATGGAGCAACGGGAACTCACTCCGTTGTGCAGATTCGAACCGGTGACCTTTCGATCAACCAGCCCAGCAGCACAGCAGTTTAAACCACTGTACCTACTTGTGCAAAAAGTAGAGAAGGAGACATTTTATTGTTTTACCTTTTATATGATCAATAATTGTTTTATTGTATTTATGTATGTTTCTACATTCTAGCAGAATCCAGAGAAACTTTGGGTTATGGGGCAGCACAAAAATGGAATTAAATAAATAATTTCCCCCTCTCTCATAACCCTCAAACCTGGATTCATCCATGAAGCTGACTGATGGGATGTTTAGAACTGATAAAAAGAACCACTTCTTCACAAAAGCATATAGTTAAACTATGAAATTCACTGCCATGGGAAATGGTGAAGGCCCTCAATCCGGGTGGCTTTAAAAGGGGACTGGGCAGATTCATGAGGGAGGTGGCTTTCAGTGGCTACTAGCCTTGCTGGCTCTATGCTACCTCCTTTATCAGAGGTGGTTTCTCTGAAAACACCAGTTGCTGAAAGCTTGGGCAGGTGGAAGTCTTGCACGCATCCTACTTGAGTGCAAGCAGGGGATCCTGTGGGCAACTAGTTTGTGACCAGGTGCATGGAGTTCTGGACTAGATGGATCTTGGATCTGATCCAACATGGCCTTGCTTATATTTGTCTTCAGCTTGTGCCAAGAGAGGTACCTCTTTGGGGAGGTCATTTAACAACTGTGTTGCCACCAGCAAAAAGGTCCACTCCTTACTCACTTACCTGCATCACCTAATTTGATGATAATCCCCAGAGCAGAATCTAAGGAAGTTTTCTTACGGTTTTGGCAAATATGTATGGGAGGTGACAATTCCTCAGGTAGCCCAGACCCACCCCATTTTCTGCACAGGTAAGGTGCCCTGCTTCTGCCCATTGGTAATTACAACAGTATGTAGAATAATGGCATTGCACATTCTTTATGAACAACAGGTATGTTCTGTTGTCAACAGGAAAAAATGAATTGCTATTGCTGGCAGAATTGCTATTTCAGGAAGGAGGGAGAGCACCCACACACCACGATCCACTTGCCTTTGATTTGACTGCTGCTTCTAAATTGTTCCTTCCTTTCTTCTGTATTTCACAGCACAAGCACTTTCCTCAGTTTATTTATGGAAATTTTAGCCTCAGCAGAAGTAGCAGTAAACAAGTTTCAATGAACTGGACAACTTTTGATATGTATAGTGGCACTATGGGGATTCAGAGATCAAGTGTTTGATGTCCTAGAGAAAATGGACTTCAAAAGACCACCACTGCACAAATTGCAGCAGCTCATAGATGTGGCAAACTGCTTACTTATAATCAAAGTTTCCTCTGTCCTTGTCTTCCCTTCAGATTAAAGTCATGTTGAGAAAGATTACAGGCTTTCTGAATTTATTCCAAATCTAAAGTTCTTTGCACTCCAATTTCTAGATGGGTAGCTTTGTTAGTCTACTGCAGCAAAGAGAATTTTGTGGTATCTTAGAAACTAACAGATTTATTATGACATAATAAATTTTCCATAAAACCTTAAAGCACTTAAAGACTCTGTTGTTTTATACTCCAAGTGCTCAATGAACATAATGGGTGCTCATTATGTTAGTGATGTGCTCTTGCAGCATAGAACACCGCAGAACCATCAGATAACCACAAGGTTCATCATTCTAACAGTTCAACTTTTAACAGCTGAAAATGAAGCTGTATAATTCTGTTAGCCTTCCAGAAATGTTACTAGAAGCTTTTTGAGAGGCATGGCAAAGAAAAGAAAAAATCTCTCTTCTTAGACTCAATCTAAGACCCAGCAGATGAACCAAATTACTATGGTCCAGCCCTGCACCACACCAGACCACCAATTCAGCTGCCATCCCAACCTCCTTCCAACATTGTCCTATTGTACCATGAGAGGGTGGATGGCTTTACACTGGGAAATAGTAACTTTACTGGTCTAAAATCACTCTAATAAGATTCATGGCCCAGTGGGAATTCAAAAACAAGTCATCTTAATTCTTGAGTCCACCCACTAATACAATATGCTGGATTTTCAGTCTATCCAGATACCTCACACCAGAAAGTTGTACAATTTGGCTTGTTTCTGTAAACCAGTTTTCTCCAACTTGCTGCCTCCACCCTCAGATATGGTGGTTTACAACTCCCAGCACCCCTGCTCCAACAGCTTGGAGGTACTCCTTGATCCAGAGCTGTCACTGGAGACCCAGGTGGCGGCAGCAGCAGCAAGGAGTGCTTTCCTACAGCTTCGGCTGGTCCACCAGCTGCATTCTTACTTGGATGAACACTGCCTAGCAACAGTGATACATGCTCTGGTAACCTCCTGGTTGGATTACTGTAATGCGGTCTACGTGGGGCTGCCCTTGAAACGGTTCAGATACTTCAACTGGTACAAAATCGAGCTGCCAGGCTGTTGATGGGGACCAGCCATTATTCTCATATAACACTGGTCCTCTACCAGCTCCACTGGCTTCCAGTTGAAGTTCAAGCCCAATTCAAGGTGCTGACCTATAAAGCCCTAAATGGCTTAGGACTGGGATACCTGAAGGAACATCTCCTTCTGTATACGCCCTCACGCCCCTTAAGATCTGTGGGAGAGGCCCTGCTCCAGGAACCCTCCCTGAAGGAGGTAAAAAGGACATCTACTTGGAGTAGGGCCTTCTCTGCAGTGGTACCCAGATTGTGGAATGCGTTCACCAGAGAGGTTTGCCTGGCACCAAGCCTATATTCTTTTCAGCACCAGGTCAAAACCTTTTTATTCAATCATTATTTTAAAAATTAACATTTTAACAGTTTCAAGTCACTTTTGATTTAATTTGTTTATTTTAGTGGTTATTTATTCTTGTATTATATTGCAATTGATTGTTTTAGTGCATTTTGATTTAAATATTGTAAGCTGTCCTGAGATGTCTCACATATAGGACGACATATAAAAGTTTTAAATAAACAAACAAACATAGCTGGAGGATACTAGTTTGGGGAAATCTGGTACAGACATTCCCAAAATAGAATGAAACCTGAAACAAAGGAAACTACTCCTACATTTTTCCAGCTCCCTTAGAGTAACTCCTTACACAACACTCTGCATTCACTATCTGGTCATTTATTCCTTCAAATATTTTTACTCCATCCTTCTCTTCCTTAATTTGTATTTTAATCTACCCTAGGATGCTTATTATAAGCTGCATCACAGAAATACTTTAAACAAACAAGTAAAATAAGAGTGTAAAGACAGACTACAAATCAGAGGACTGGGAACAAAATATAGACACAGAATTGCATTTTTTTATCACCTGTACTTTTAGAATACACAATAACAGCAGCCATATATTAGATATTCAAACCCAAATATCTTAAAGCACCAGATAACAAATCTGATGCAGGTATATACTATGATCTTACATAATAACCATCTTGTGATTCTTTGGAATAAATGACAGTATTAAAAAGTCTGAAATAAAATATTAATTCCAGGGTATAGAATATTCTGTGCAAATCCACTACCAATCTTTAGCTTACCAATGTGTATGTGTTCAGACTGCATTTTATAAGCTAGTCTGTATGTAGCCTGAAAAAGGTCAAGTAAAACACAATTTTGGCTAGAATTTCATCTGAAATAACCAACTTTAGTCAGGTGAAACACATCAGCCAAGTTTGGATTATGTGTCTTTCTCAACCACATGCTACCCTGTTCTACAAACTTCACTGCAGTGCTGAAAGCTCTGGCTTCTGCTAGCTCCAATTTCCACCGGTGTCACTACTGTGATATCACTCTATGGATGAGCAATGTTCTTTTCTGACAAACTGCCATACTAAAGTTGTATTAGGCTCTGAACACTCAGGCTCTAGGAAGCTTAAAATAATTGGTTGGGTTCTGTTTTTCTAGGATTTCATTTTTAATAAGTATTTTATTATAGCCACTTTCAGGACAATTTTTGGTAGAAAACTGGGAACTAAATGAAATAAATATTTTAAGGAACACATCATGTTCAAGTTTGTTACAAAGCAGGAATGTTCTAAGATTTCAGGGATAAAGTATATTACTAGCGAAAATTCAGCTTGTAACATACATAGTGTATGAAATAGATTCTTTACATGTTTATCCCAAACATTTCACCAAAGAAAACAAAAACTTCTATAAAGCAACATACAATGGAGTTTCATTAAGAAAAAAAAAATGACTCTAAGAACTTTGCTGAGCCCCCTTATGAGACTGCAAAATCCATCACAATTGTATAAATATTTGAATTTTATATTGTTCCTCTTCTGTATATAACAATAAATCCTTGAAATGCCAAGTGTTTCCAGAGTAGTGTGATATCGTTTTTCTTCTTTTGGATATTTTGCAAAAAGAAAATGGACAAAAGAAGCCATGGGAAAACATGGGATGGGATGGCCAATATAATTTTGTGAACACAGCAAGGTGATCACACAGTAAAAGCTATGCCTGAAAGTATTTTCATAGAAAACTTTCCATTCATTTATTTTACTAGAATTTAACAAGAAACTGATGCAATCTGCAAAGATTTCCAAAAACTTATTGATCCATTCAAAAACTCCACTTGCAGGTTTAGTTACACAAAACTCTAATAATTAAATGAGCCACAAGAGTATCAAATCTATTTCACTATAGTTCATTAAAGAGACAGAAACTTCCTAACTATCAGTATATACAGAAATACTTACACAGAAGTCTTATACTGCATAAGACTTCTGACATAAGACTTCTGTCTTTTGCTCCTATCATAATAGTTGCACTTTTTTTAAAGCGCGCGCGCGCACTATACTAAATTGATTTACCTTTTTTACAATTGGTTTTGCCCCAACATTGCTTTTTTTTGGTGGGGGGGGGGGCAACATAAGGTGCCGTTCAATGTAGAAAACAGTCCTATCACTCCCAGCATGCCTGGCTAGGGCAGGCTGGGAGTTGTAGGATTCCCCCCACCATAAGCCTCCATAAGAATTGTGCCCTCGTGCGCTGGGTTCTGTCCCAGCAGGTCTCGTCGCAGCCACCAGCCTTCCCCACGAGGGTGCCCCGGCCAGCTCGCGGGCTCCTGCTCGCTTATAGCCAGTCAGCCCTGCACAGGGAAGAACAGAATGGAGGGGACCGGGCTCGTGGCTGCTCCGAGGAGCGGTTTGCTGAAACTGCTCCTCAGAGCAGTAGTGCTGCGTGCCTCCAATACAATCCAGAGAGGCGAATCTAGGTAGTTAGGCGCTGATTGGGCGTTTGTCTTGCCCATATTCCCACACTGAACCTGCCATTAAGAAAGCAGACTGGAAAATGAAAATGCAGTGTAACGGCCGTTGTCGTTTAATTGTAAGGCTAATTTAAGGAACCTTTAGTGCTCGGTTTCTAAAAACTACCCCCCCCCCCGGGTCTCTGGGTTTTTTTGGGGGGGGGGATGCTCTCTGCACATGCTCAGAGACATATCTTCCTACTGCTGCCTAGTCCAATGCAACCCCTTGCTGCTACGGAAGCGGACCACCTTGCGGACGAGAAGCGGCTGCGGCAGTGCTTGGCGCCAACTGACCTGTGCTGCGCGAGCGGCTTCTACCATCCTTAAAGCAGCAGCTTCGCGGATCGGCCTAGCGGCGCTTGACGCACTCGCCTTGCCTTGCCTCGCCTTCCGCCACAGCCAGGATAGGGCGGTTTCTGGAGGCCCGGCTCCACCTTCGCGGCCATTTTGGATTCGGCGCGGCGACGGCTGGCTGCACAGAGAAGAGCGGCTGCGCGGGCGGGGTTGCTCTGGCGAGGCGGCGCGCGCAACCCGAACCTGAGCGCGCGCACTCCTGTTCGGCGGTGCTTCGTCCCGGCGGGCGTGCGTGGGATTTCCAGCTGCAATCCTGTTGCTGCTTACTTTGGGCCGACCCCTTGAATCCAGCATGTGAGGTTGCCGTGCAAGTCTGCGGTGTATGCCGGCTCTTTCCGCCTGTTGGATCTGATGTAGCTTTTCATCTTCCTGATAAAAAGCCATCTCAACCCCATGACTCCTACCTTTCTGATACATGCCTATTTTATTACATCTCGTTTCGGTCTGCTCCCCAATTACTACCGCTGAAGAAGGTTACTGGGAAATGGAGTGCCTCCTTTCCATGCATATCTTTGCCTGTTGAATACCGGTCTGTCGTAAAAGGGCACCATAATGGCTAGCATGTGTATTGTGGCATAAACGTCCACGGGCCAGAACCCACTTAAATAAATGCCTACTGCTTGCAGGAACAATCATAAAGAGGAAAAATATATAGCTTTCTATGAAAGGGAATATGTGTTTATGAAGGGGAGAACTGTACGTGTGTCATATGGCTATATGAAGCTAAATCTATCAAAATGTGTGTTCCACCTTATAGTAGCTGATGACATAAGCATAGCAAGAGCAATCACATAAATCTCTAAAGAGACACCAATTTCCTGTAAGTAACTACGAATCCCCAGTATTTACAAATCAGATCCTACACTTTCAAATTTGCTAATTCCAATTTAGAATCCCCCTTTCAACATTTTTGTTGGAATATATGACAATATTAAAGCCAACTACAGATTGTCCTGGAAGACTGAAATAGTCTTCCACTAGCCTGTGAACTTTGCAGTAAAATCGTGTGAGCCCTTTCAAGTGAAAAATGAGAGTGGGGGTAGAGAACTGTTCCATGTCAGATCAAGCCAATCCCATAGGCAAGAGATTTCAGTTTCTCCAGAATTCATATTTTTATCTGGCAGGCAAAACTATTTCTCACATTCTTATTCCTCCCTTAAATAGAGCTCAAGGCAATATCCATAGTTTTTAACCTCCACACATTTTTCCTTTATCACAACAGCCTAGGTAGAGAGAGAGCATGAGAATAACTGAGCTGAAGTCATGTAATGAATATCATAACTGAATGTGTTTTGAGCCTCCATTCTCTGGTCCTAGCCAGGCATCCTAACTGCTATAGTACTACTAAAGGTAAAGGTTTCCCCATGACATTAAAGTCCAGTCAGGTCTGATTCTTGGGGAAGGCGCTCATCTCCGTTTCCTAGCCGAGGGAGCCGGCGTTTGTCCGCAGACAGTTTCCATGGTCATGTGGCCGGCATGACTAAACACCGAAGTGCACGGAACGCTGTTACCTGCCCACCGAAGGGGTACCTTTTTATCTACTTGCATTTGCATGCTTTCAAACTGCAAGGTTGGCAGGAGCTGGGACAGAGTACGGGAGTGCACCCCGTCTGCGGATTCGAACTGTTGACCTTTCGATCAGCCAGCCTGCTACCTCTCAATCAGGGCCAACCCGAGACATGTTGCTACCTGAGATGCAGCTGTTAAATTCTGCTTTTCTGCCCTCCCACTGCCTCATCCTGCAACACAGAATACACAGCACCTAAAGCTAGCCATGTTGGCTTCTGAGGGTAGGATAAAATCCTACAAGCACCACTTTATCCTTCTGACAGTAAAAATGCAATAGTTAAAGAACTAACAATTTGCCGTTCTTTTCTAGCTCTCAGAATCCACTTTCTGAGGCAGCTGCCTCCATGGATGGATTAATCATTGGCCTAAGGGGGCTGCAACCTGAACTATCTCAGGGGGCCCACTACCTAGCCCAGGTTTGTTGGGTAGAAGTAAATAAAAACACATCTCTTGCTCTTGTACAACCTGAGATATTAGACAAATTTTTCAGGTATCATTCTATCCAATCACTTTGTGAGAAATGAACCTTGCAGTGGGCAGAATGCAATGAGGTGCTTATGCCTCCTCTGATTCTCTTGCATGTTGCTAATCCCCAGGGCTGTGCTGCCCACCACTCTTGATGTGAAGACTTAGCGCATCTGGGGCAACTGGAAAGGGGCAAAAGTGCTTGTTTCTGGAACAGGATAGCAGAGCTCCAACAACCTACCCCAACTGATATTCTGCTCATTTTGGGGCGTCCTTTGGGAAGTGCTAATTTTTTTGCAGAAGAGGTGGGCCCTGCTCGCATAATGGAATTGTTGGGACCCTCCACTAGTGACACAGAATCGCCAGGACACAGGACAGTCCGTGGGTGTGTAAGCATGCTGTTAGATTCTGCCCAGTCAGTGTAGCTAAAGTGTGGAGTCGTGTGTCTGACTGACATTTGATGAGAGCGATAAGTATAGAGTGACTACTTGTCTACAGACCATTCATTTTCAGTCCGTGGGTGGAGGGTTTCTAACCTTGTGGAATACTACTGTGGAAAACCCTTATGGAATACTGATTCTAGAAAACAAGAAATCCAGAATGTCAATGTTACTGTGATTGGGCAGCAGCATATTTATTTCAATTTACCTTAATAATAATTAAATATTCTAGTAATTCTGACCAATAATCCCAATAATCAAGTAATCTAGCCCAAATAACAAGTAGCTGGAATGATAGAAGTCTGTATACTTTGGCTCAAGTCATATTTCCTAATTCAGTTAGTGTTATTTTCCAGTTTGAAAAACAATCCAGTGGGAACACCTTTGCCTGACACTCAGGCAGTGTACACAGTATAGGGCTGGATGAACCTAGTCTGATCTGATACAAGTTAGCTTCTGATGTCCTATGACTTGTCTTTAGTACTTAATTTCCAAAAGAAGCCTCATGGCACAAACCTGCTTGGACATCACTCTTTTTGCACAAATGACATTTCCTGCAAACTGGTGTCAGATTGTGCGCACTCACTGATGATTTCACCCAGTATACCTCTAAGGTTATCTTCTTCATTGTTCCAAACAAGCCCCTAAATTGAGTTGCAAGGCAAGCAATCATGTGCCAGTAAGAGAACCTTGCTGAACTCTGGCTTCAGTTAAATCCTGCTTACGTTACAGGTACTTCTTCACAACAATGACTTCAGTTAGCTGGTCCAAGATCCTTGAATGATTCTAGTAATGTGTACTTCTGTAGAGGGATGGCAACATACCGCCCTTGGCCTCTTCCCGTGCTGTCTTCAAAGACTTACCCCACAATCTAGCTGGTCAGCTGAATTCCAGCTTGGAAATGCTGCTCCAGAACTGCTCTTCGCAGCACTAGGAAAGCTATCATGCTTGGGGATGGGGGAGAGGAAAGCTGCTCGTGATCCAGAATGATCCCGCTCCTGAGACTGCAGATTTCCCACACTTCTGTTGGATGACGAACTGTGATCTCTTCAGAGATCACATGACCCCTGGAACTCTGCAGGCAGGGAGAGGATATTTAAACCTTGCTCCCTGTACAAACTGATGTGTGTGTTGAGGGGAGGGTATGTGTGCATGTGTATCTATATGTGTCTGTACATGAGCATGGGGACATGCTGGCCCTGGATGCAGCCCTCAGAGCTGAAATGGTTGTGCACCCTTGAGAGGGTCAGAGATGGCATTAGGAAAAAGGTACCGGAACAGGAAAGCCAACATAAAATGAATGAGCCCATGTGCTTAGCAGACAAAGGGACAGCTGTGGCACCTCACCATCCCATTTGTCTGTCTGAACAGTCAGTTTAGAAACATTTGCAAGCTAGCAGCCTGACCTTGGGGCAAGGTCTCTTTGTGCCTGAGGACAACATCTGTACCAGCCCTGCCACCACTCAAGGTGTAGATATGACGTTAAGCAAGTAAGAAAGGTTGCTACACAACGGATTTTCATATGTGAACCAGTATGGTGTAGTGGTTAAGAGCATGGGACTGGGACTCAGACGATCTGGGTTCTAGTCCCCGCTCAGCCATGGAGCCAACTGGGTGACTTTGGGCCAGTCACAGACTCTCAGTCCAACCTACCTCACAGGGCTGTTGTTGCGGGGATAAGATGGAGGAGGAGAATGATGTGAGCTGCCTTGAGCCCTTTGAGGAAAAAGGCAGGATATAAATCGATAGATAGATAGATAGATAGATAGATAGATAGATAGATAGATAAATATGTTATGAACGTGGGCAGAAATTAAGAGATGAAAAGTATCAGCAAAATCTTCCATCAGCATTTATCACAGAGCTCATCAAAACATTAGAGCTATGCTGGGTCAGACCGAAGGCCTATCTAGTTCAGCATTCCATTCGCACCATGATCAACCATCTGTGGAAATTCCATATTTTAATCATACACTCGTGTGTGTCCTCAATCTCTCACTGTTAGCTTTGGAGGCTGCAGCAGGCAGTGTCAGCCAGTGCAGTTCTTTCCCTGCCAGCAGAGCCCCAGAGGAGAGAAAACTATCATAGGGACTGGTGCCGGGGCAGGAGGTGTTCTAGGCTGAGAAGGAGAAGGGCAGAGGCAACCTGCATCTCTGTGCTCCTCCTTCACTTTATCAGATGCCCAGCCATAACCTTCCGAATTTAGAAGGTTACAATCATAGTGTCACACCCTCAAACATTTTACTTTCAGCTCCAACAAAATCACTGAGTATCTTGACAAATTTTCTGGTACTATTTCACTTTATTTTGATACGGCATTTAGGTATATGTTTTTGCATCTTTTATTGTTTTGTAACTAATGTTGGGCAGATCAAGATATTTCTGGTCAGTGTCAGTTTCACATGTATTCAATCATATGTTCATTAAAATGCTCAAAAGTTCCCATTTAACGTATACATACTTCCTTCTCTGGTGATACATACTCATGAACTGCTAATTTTAAGCAATTCATCAAGATTTGAATTAGTTCAGATTTATTGATGAAGACATCTAAAAATAGTTTGTATCTCC